CCAGTCTGTCTCAGCAATCTGGTCGATAGTAGATAATAAGTATTATTTAAATACTAAAGTCTATATTATGCCATTTTTTCCTTTTTCTTTTATTTTTTTTAACAGTAGGAAAATTTATTGGAGAATAGGAATGGAGAATTGGGAATAGGAATAGGTCCTGAGAGACAGGAGGGGTCCCAAATGATCCTTTTTAAATATAAGCATCAAAGAGAGTTCCTCTCTTTTGCTCATTTCTTTTTTGATATCTTACTGTAGAATTTTTAAATGCTTTTTGAGCCAGATTTGCACTTGAGATGTAAGCCTATGCAGTAGTCATTTGTTGGGGTATAACAATATTGCTGCATACTTAAATAGCTTAAAATTGCACACATTCATCATCTCTTAGTTCCCATGGGTTCAGAGTTTAGGCACAACTTAGCTGGTACTTTGATTAGTCTCACGAGGCCGCAGTAAGGTGTTGGCTTGAAGCTATGATCTGATTGGCTTCATTTGCTTCGAGGCCCACTCAGGCTGTTGGCAGAATTCAAATTCTTACACTTTCTTGGTAGCTGTCATCTGGAAACCACTCTCAATTTCTAGAGGTCACTTGCAGTTCCTTGCTATGTGGTGCTTCTCACCATGGCTAGAGAGGGAAGAGGCAGCAGCAATGATCTTATGCAATGCAGTGACACATGCATTGTTGCATACATCCTGTCACCTTTGATGTACTCTGTTGATTAGAAGCAAGTCACAGGTCCCACCATACTGAAGGGGATGGGGATCATAAAAGAGCGTGAACACCAGGAGGTGGGGATTATGGGACCACCTTAATTAAGAGTATTCACCATAGTTTATAAACATGGCTTGTAGACTATTTTTTTTTTTGTCTATTTGAGACAGGGTCTTGCTATGTAGTTCAGGCTGACCTTGAGCTCACTTTGTAGCCCAAGCTACTCTCAAACTCGCAGTGATCCTCCTGCCTCAGCCTCCCGAGTGCTGGGATTGCAGGCGTGCGCCACCACGCTCAGAGCTTGTAGACTTTTATAATGTACTTTCTTGAAAGATACACCTTTTGACTAAGAAATGCATTTTAATCTTTGTTCCCTGACTTGTTACTGAAGTCAGTAAAAAGTATCTTTGTGTTCCTTTTTTCTTTGACATTAAAAATGTCATGGAGTTGGACTTTGTACTTGAAATCTATTGTATACAAATTAAGTGCAGTATAAATTATACATAGATCTACGTAGTACAGACAAAACTGTGTTTACTGTGCCTAATGGATGATTTTAAGGAATTGAAGAATAATCTTAATTGTACATATTTTTCTATATACTTACCAGTGTTAACCCCAACTGTCTTGTAAGATACAGCTCCACTATACCCAAAATATTCTCATTCATGTTTACTGTTGCTTGTGGCAGTGGCATTCTTGTCAAGGAGCTTTGGAGGAAGAGTGCATTTGCCTGCTGTGACAGTTACATTAGCGCTACTTAGTTTTAATGTAGTTTTCCTATAGCCAGTTTCTTAGCCTTTCACTTTCCAGGCTCCAGTTTTTAAATAATTTATTCCTCTTGTCCTGTTACCATCTAATTTATCCTTCTCTTACCTTCTCCCTTCCATTGTGTTTTCCTTAGAGCATAACTATTAGGCTTGCATACACCTTTCCAGCAGGTCAAGACCTGCAACTAGGCAAGATTCTACTTGTAGACGCTGCACTGATATATTGGATCTTTATATTTAAGATGTAATTTGGAGTAATTTAATTGATAACAAGTAGACAGTCACCTTCTATGTACCATTTTAGGTTTCTTCTCTATTCTTCCTGTCCAGCTTCTAAGCAGCATACTCTCTTCCATTTTATCTTCTGCCTCTGAATTCAGAAGACCACATATCTTTTGTGAATTTTGAGGTTTCTCATTTTTACTAGTTTCTTTAAAGGCTAATAATACAGTGCATTATTTCATTGTACAGAATTATATTCTTCATATATACTTCTTATAGATAAGTGTTTTTATCCACCTTCTATTTTCTTATATTGGATCTATTTCTTCAGTGACTACAAAACACCTGTACCTCTGATGATGAAATTTAAAAAGACGTTGCTTTTGAAGCCTTGGCAGTATGTTTATATTTTTGCAATTTAATCAAAATAATGACTCTAGGTTTTCAACTTGTGATTGAAATCTTGGTTTTCCTTTTGCTCAAACCATATTGCTTCCTCTTTTAAAAAATTGTCTAAACATTTAGCATTCCACCTTTCTCAGTGGAAATAAGGCACATCAGTACTTGGTTCCCCAAGATATAACATCCCAATAGCTGATAGACATAAAACTACTCTGGGCTAGACTTCTAGGTCAGTAGCTTTTTAAAACTTCATAGATTACTCATCTAAAATAATTGAAAATGCATACATGTCTTAGTTAAATGCCATTTAAGCACAGTGTTGTTTTTTTTTTTTTTTTGGTACCAGGAATCGAACTCAGGACCTTGTGCTTGCCAGGCAGGTGCTGTGCCATTGAGGTATATCCCTGGCAAAAACAATGTCTTTTGAGACTGTAAGAGGAAGAAACACTTATCTTATCAATTAGGTCAGGAACTATTCTGCCCAGTATGGCAGGCACTAGCTACATGTGGCTGTTAGACATCAATTTGGCTAGTCTGCATGGAAATGTACTATAGGGCACATTTATATAAAAGGGTAAAGTATATACCAGATTTAGAAGACACAGTACAAAAACCATCTCAAAAATCTTAATAGTGATTATATTTTAAAATATAATTTTAACATATTAAGTTAAATAAAATATAATTTATTTTATTTTTTAGAGGAAGCAAAAATTTAAACTACCTATGGTTCCCATTATATTTTTACTGAACAGCACTGATCTAGAAAATCTTATATTTACTAGGATTTAGCAGCTACTCTCTCTTACCTATCTGCTTCAAAGGAAATTTGAGAGTAAGGTCAAGTCTCTCTAAATGAAAATTTTACTGAATAGCCTTTAATGAATAGTCCCACCTAAATACGTAAACGTATCAAAGTTAGTGTATTAAGAATTTTGGGGAGGAGGGGAGGTAGATTCGAGTCCCTATGTATTCTGTCTGTCACTTTCTTTTTCTGTGCTGAGGGTGGAACCCAAGGCCTCCTACAGCAAACCAAATTATTTGTACTGCCACTGAGCTACATCCTCAGCCCAATCCCTATTACATCTGCACAGTTATGTCAAGTCTTCTTCTCTAATAATTTGTATAGTTAAAATGTCACTGTATAATAAAACAGTGGTGGCATCCTGCACCTTTGCAGTAATATATAGTGACTTACTAGAGAGGCTATGAATGATGGAATGTGTTAGTGTACTCACTGTCTAGTTTGTTTATATCCTCACATCTGACAGCAAGAAGGGATGGTCATTTGTAGTGCAGTAAAACTGGGGGCTGGTTCCTACATTCACTATCACCTGACGTTTGATTTCAAGTTACTTGGTCTATGTGATTTACATTAATTATCTATATAAACTAAAATCAGAACAACAAGTGGAATTCTTAATGATATGTTTGGATACATTTTCTGCCCTCAGGATTTTTATAATATCTTTATGAGATATAATTCATATACCACAGCATTTACCCTGTTAAAGTATACATCAATGGTTTTTAGTATATTCAGAGATTTTTATAATCATCAGTAGCAATTTAGAATATCTTCATTACCCCAGAGAGAAACCCCATAACTGCCTCCCTCTAGATCTAAGCAACCTCTCATCTACTCTCTGTCTCTATGGATTTGCCTATTGAAGACATTTAATATAGATGGAATCTTACAATACTGTATGTAGTATTTTGTGCTTAGCTTCTGGCAGTTTGTGTAATGTTTTCAAGGCTTATCCATGTTGTAGCATGCACCAGTTATTACTTCATTCCTTCTCAGGGCCAAATAATATTCCATTGGGTGGGAATGCCACTTTTTAACCCATTCACCAGTTGATATAGAGTTTTACTGATGCTTTTTTAACACTTAAAAAAATAGTGAATACAGTATTTATATTTAGTGATAACCATATGTATTTTCATATGGAGCCTCATGGTAGTTTGTTTAGGTAAGTATTGTTACAGGCACCATTGTTTTATAGGTAAAGAAGTGGAGCTCAAAGAAGCCTAAGTAACCAGACGTGGTGCATGCCTGTAGTCCCAGCATTTGGGAAGTTGAGGCAGGAGGATCACAAGTTCTGGGTCAGCCTCGGGTACATAGCAAGTCAGAGGCTTGCCTTGATTAGATAGCAAGACTTTGTCGCAAGAAAATAAACAACAGAAAGCATATGTAATTTGCCTAAGATCACATAACAATTAAATAACTGGGCTCACATAACTATAACTGGAGTCTAGTTCATTTGACTCTGGATTGTATATTTTCATGCTTATAGGTATAACCCCCTCCAAGCCTTGGTGACGGGTTTTAAAGGGTAATTACTTAGAATCTAGCCTCTGATAATGTTTTTGCTTAATTTTCTCTATTAGACAAGAACCAGACTGAAAGAAAATTCTAATATGGCTTCTTACGGTAACTTTGTGGAAAAGATGCAGATGTATTCTAGATGACCTTATACCTCTGTGGCTTAGCAACAGATAAAAATGTATAGAATCAAACTGCTCAAAAGATTGATGTCCACCTATAGAAGCACATGCAGGGATGGGCAGGATGACTCACTTTTTGTATCCCATGAAAAACTTCCATTAGTAACCTAGATGAAACTATGTTTTTTTTTTTTTTTGGTTTTTCTCCGGTACCGGGAACTGAACTCACGACCTCGCGCTTGCCAGGCAGGCGCTTTTGCCGCTGAGCTAAATCCCCAGCCCCGAAACTATGTTTATATTAGAAGACCTAGTTTATTATTTTTATGGGAGTTCCAGTGTTGAATTGTTTGAATTTGATCTATTTAGTAGGCTCATAGAGAATATGCTCAATCAAACCTTTGCGGTGATAACATATACTTGATGTCTGATTTCTCCTCCCACCCCCTTAGGGTTCTGTAGCTATAGCTGGTGCTGTTATACGCTGGCTAAGAGACAATCTTGGAATTATTAAGACCTCAGAGGAAATAGGTGCGTATGTTCTGGTGAAAAATTTTAATATTTACCTCTGCAATTTTATAAATATTTTTGCTTCCCCACAAATGTGATCTATAAATTATGTAAATCCCTATTTGAAGTTTGCATTATACAAGAGACTACTTTGTGAAGATTTATTAAACAGTGAATTGACACACTTAGTGGTGCTTAATAATAAACTGATAAGGTAGGGCATAAAAATCATCCAACTATAAAATTGAACACCAGAGATAGCCCAAATCTGCAGGTAAAGTAGTTTAGTTACATTTATCTGATGAAGTAGAGTTTTAACTTCTGGATTACAATGAGCATTATAAGTCTGATACCTATAATTTCAGTGTTAATCTGACTGTGTTCAGTCCATGGATAATTAGTTTGAGCTCACCTACTCACTGTTTTGTGTACTTGTTTAACTTTGCCTGAAGGTAACACTATCAGAAATGCACTGTTGATTAGGCATGCACGAGAGGCTATTTGTTTTCCTAACCAGCAACCTTAAAAATAATGGAAATGAGCTAAAACACCTTAAAGAAATGAATCCAATCCCTTGATGACTACAACTACCACTACTGTTGCTGCTGCTGCTGCTACTACTACTACTACTACTACTACTTTTTCTTTTTTTCTACTTCCTCTTCTTTTTGTTTTTTTCTTTTTTATTTTTTGAGATAGGGTCTCACTATACAGTTCAGGCTGGCCTGGAACTCACAGGTGATTCTCCTCCTCCCTCTGCTTCCTAAGTGCTGGGATTACAGGCATGCACCACTACTCCCGGCTCCTTGACTTCTTGAGCTGGGTTATATTTTAGTGGACATGGTCAATGTAGGGGAAATGTTTATTGGCTCCTAGCGTACTACTATAATTGAGAACAGTCTGTCATACCATTGAATAGGAAACCAAAAACCCTGTACTAATTTTGAGAAGTTGTGTTTATTTTAAAAAGTAGGATATTAGTGTGACTTTTCTTTTTACTTTCTTTTTTTAATATTAGAAAAACTTGCTAAGGAAGTTGGTACTTCTTATGGCTGCTACTTTGTCCCAGCGTTTTCAGGATTATATGCACCTTATTGGGAGCCTAGTGCACGAGGGTGAGTATTATGTAGCTAACTCTTATACATTGTATGGTTTAAAAGAGCCAGAAGATAGGGTTTTCAATGCTCCAACACAAAGAAATAATCAACGTTGAAAAAATGAATATGCTAAATACCCTGATTTGATCATCAGACATTGTATGCATGCATCAGAATACACTGTATTCCATAAATATATATAACTGTTGTGTAACAATTAAAACATAAAGCAGAGAGGTATTGGTAATACAGTCTATTTTTGGAGGTCTTGATTGTTTTTTTCTTTTGTCTCTTTTGAGACAGGGTTTCGCTATGCAGTTCAGGCTGACCTTGAACTCACATTGTAGCCCAGGCTGGCCTCAAACTCACAATAATCTTCCTACCTCAGCCTCCCAACTGCTGGGATTACAGGCGTGTGCCACCACGCCCAGCAGAGGTCTTCATTGGCTACTAAGTTAATAAATAATTAGTTAACAGTTTTCTATCTATTTTCAAATTATTTAGAAATGGCAAGCAAATCTTTTCTGCTTGGTGACTCTAATTTCAGTCTTTAAGCTCCAAGAAGTTATAAGTCAGCAGACAATAGTACCTGCTATATCCACACCTGTGTTAATGCCGTTGCTTTTTGTTTTAAAATCATCTGCAAGTTGTACAGTTCAGCAAAGGAAATTCATCTAAATGAATAATGCTGATTTGGTTTTACATTACTCTTGTTCTATCCAGATGAATCATGAACTTTTCCTTACTTGGATATAGGAATAAGAACTATAAGAACTTTCTACCTATTTAACGATGTCCACCTTTCTTTCTCTATACATTTGTCTACCAGATTCACCCATTCCATCTTTGGGACAGTTCAGATCAATGACTCATCTATACCACTGTAATTTGAAAATTTTATGTGTATTTTTAGGATAATCTGTGGACTTACTCAATTCACCAATAAATGCCATATTGCTTTTGCTGCATTAGAAGCTGTTTGTTTCCAAACCCGAGAGGTAATGAATATGTGCCTGTTTTCTTGCATTTAATTTACTTTTATCACTCCTAAATTATATATTAGTGCCTGAAATTTATTAAATACTAAAAATATTCCTAGTGAAACATGAAGCCCATCTAAACATTAAATATAAGCACACATACATGTCCTTTTCAGCTGTCATCACCTTCTAAGTACCAGTTAACTGCCAGGCACTGGGAAGGCTGAAAATGTTATGCAAAAGAAACACCACATACACAGGCATGAAGACAGAAAACCAGGGTGCAGAATAGTTGTTTGGCTTGCCTAAATTCAGGGTGAGTGCAGAGTTGTAATGAGAGCAAACACTGATTGTTATCAGATCATGGAGGGCTTGAAAGATCAGAATAAGATGTTTCACTTCCATTCTGCAGACTTTGGGGAGCTCTTTAGGGTTTTGAGTTGGAGATTGCCATTTTTAGAGAACTACTGTGCAGTAGTTTCATTATGTTAATTGCATCAATTTATTTCAGATTTTGGATGCTATGAATCGTGACTGTGGAATTCCACTCAGTCATTTGCAGGTAGATGGAGGAATGACCAGCAACAAAATCCTGATGCAGCTACAAGCAGACATTCTATATATTCCAGTAGGTTAGTAAGCCTTCATTCCTTTGACTCGGAGTAGGGTCTCTTTTGGAAGAACTGGCTCTTTAGGCAGAGGGAACTACAGGGTTGCTGATAAAGCTTTTTCCCCTCAGTGAAGCCCTCCATGCCAGAAACCACTGCACTGGGTGCCGCCATGGCAGCAGGGGCTGCGGAAGGAGTTGGTGTTTGGAGCCTCGAGCCTGAAGATTTGTCAGCGGTCACAATGGAACGGTTTGAACCTCAGATCAATGCTGAGGGTACATTTAAATAATTAAACTTTGAATGGTATGGCTGTGGCAATGACCTTACTGTGAAGGAGTTTGCCTTTCTGCTGATTTAAAGTTAAAAACAATGTAAAATAATATAAGGTACTGTTTCAGAATCAACTGCTAAGCATATTGGGCTACACTTAGAAGTTTTAGTGAATTAGTTCCTTATTTAAAGAAAAATCTAAAGTCATTTTTTTTTTTTTTTGGTCTTTTTGAGACAGGGTCTCACTATGCATTTCAGGCTGACCTTGAACTCACTTTTTAGCTCAGGCTGGTCTCGAACTTGGAGTGATCCTCCTGCCTCAGTCTCCTAAGTGCTGGGATTACAGGCATGTGCCACTACGCCTGGCTAAAATCACTTTTTAAAACCATTCACTTCTGCACTGTATAGGAGAATAATACTGCTGTGTTGTCAGTTATAGTTTGGTAAAGTAGTGTTTTCTAAAAGAGAGAAGGGAGTCACCCACCCTTAATGTCTGTACTGTAATGTCACCCAAGCCTAATTAGTCCACCACCCCTAATATCTATACCCAATCATCTTTGGTACTGATGTCCTGATTTTAGGACGTTAGTTAGCCTAACAGACACACTGGTAACTTTTTTTTTGTTTTTTAAAAATTATCAAAACCAAATGCAAACATTCAAATTCCATTTGATAAACAACCAACACTGGTAACTGTTAAATACAATGGGACTAACCTGACAAGGGTGGCAACATTTTAAGTAAATGAGCTTTAAATATCTGATTCACTCACTGACCTAGGAAACTAAGCAAAGCCAGAAGCTCTAATCAGCATCTTTATTAAAATAGTGATGCAGCTCTTAAATTGAAGTAAATATGAATAGGAAAACAAGGCTTTATGTATTGAATTTGGTTTATGAATTTTTAGAAATCTATGCATAAAAGCATCAAAGTGGATTTTGAGCTATTGGGAAATAAGTTTTCAAATGTATTTTTTGTTCAGTTTTCTAGAAGACCGCCAGTGTTTAATTTTATTCATTCTTTCCTATACGTAAGGAACTGAATTGTAATGCTAATGATTCTGTAGTTAAACAGTATACCATATACCATAGTGTAAACATTTGTTTCAAAATGTGATACTCTGTTGGAATTTTTAAATTTTTTGCAATCCCAGGTAAAATATGAATTAAAAAAAATTTCTGCTTCTGAAAAACACAGCAACTTTTTAATATGTAAGCAAATAGTACTTAGATCAAGTTTGTGACTTTAAATGCTCACGCTATTCCTAAAGCAAGGAGGTTTTGTGCAGAGGGTTTAAGATTACTGTTTAGGAGGAGGACCATGCTTGCTATTGTATAAGGCTTGTGCCAGCTCTCCGCCTTTCTCCACCCCACATCCTGCTCCTCCACAGTAATGGACAGGTAGGTACAGATAGTTCATTCTTCCAGCTGACCGTTGTTTAGAACCAGCTAGAGGCCAGGAATTGCTATTGACATTGGGGATATAGACATGAATGAGACTAAGTCCTTCCCCTTGCAGAGACTGGTATATATGGGAGGAGGTAGACCAAACCCTAAAGGTTCACTGTGGCAGCTGACACCCTGAGGTGTATGTGAAGTACTGTGGGAAAGGGGAGTAGGGGCTAGAAGTGAGACAAGAAAACTTGTGAAGTGAGTGATCCTCGAGGCTTTGAAGGCTGACAGGATTTGCCGAAGTCTAACCCCAGGCATGGTTCAGGACCCTTCTGAGTACAGCCTCAGTGCTCATTTTTGTTTAGGCCACCTGTTGTGGATTTTCACCTTGAAAAATACTTTACGACGTCAGGGCGTCTCACAGGAATGCAGTTTGAATCTTTTAAAAATTAGTATTTGCTAAATCCTTTGATTAGACCAACAGCAATTCACCTAATTTTCCCACATGACAACTTACGACAACTTACCCTCTCCTCATGTCAGAAGCCCCTGCAGAACCTTAAAAAGAGAAAACAGGTCAAATGGGATTCCATTTTGTGAACCAATTGTCCACGTGGTTGGGGAGGGCCCTACCTTCCTAGCAGGCAGTCTGTGTCCCAGTCTCCCTCCTACAGTCCCGTGCTGCATTTCCCACCACAGGGTTCTCTAGTTTGCAAGCAGGTGGCTCTACCAGTCACTGCCTGTCTGTCACCAGTAGCCATGTGCTCCCAGATACGAGTCCAGGTAAAGCCTCTCTTTAGTTTAATGGTGTGTAACACTTTATGAAAAATGCCAAGTAACATAGTATGATGCTTAGAACCTCTTTGCAAACTACCTTTCATATGTGTATTTTTCCTACCTTCAAATTTCAGAAAGTGAAATTCGTTATTCTACGTGGAAGAAAGCTGTGATGAAATCAGTGGGTTGGGTTACAACTCAGTCTCCTGAAAGTGGTAAAATCTTTTTATTGTTTATTATTGCCACTTTTTCTTAGTATGCTAAATAGTTTACGTATCTGACCATTTTTACTTAGCTAGGCTACTGAAGAAATAAATGCATTATCACATGTCCAAAGTTTCTAACATTTTGAGAACATTCTAAAACTGTAAACATAAAATGGAAACTACCAGGTTAATAATAGATACTTTTACCCTGTCCTGCCATATTAGTTTATTCTTGAAACTGGATTTTCCAAAAAAAAAAAATTTCTAGTTTCTTCTTAATTAAAAAAATCAACGAGATTTCTTTTCTCTCTTCTCTGTATCTTACCTTTTTGGGAGGCTATTTTCATGACTTGAACTAATTGAGCGCTATATTAATTTCAAAAATACGTAAGTCTGCTATTTCGTAGGTTAGTTCTAAGCACTAAAAGAATGCACATATTAGGAATTCTTTGGAGCCCAAGAGGAAGAAATATACCAAACATACTAAAGTAGAATTATTGTACTAAATTGAGAAATGCTTTTGGCAGAAAATAGAGAACTATTTTATTTTTCAAATCACTTAGCAAAGTGTTCAATTTAAACCATTTAGATTTTAGTGCCTTAAACTGGCATTGATATTATTCTTTTCTAAATGTAACAGTTGGACCATAATGAATTGAACAGTGGCCAGTAATTTACAAATGAAGTATTACCTGCCTTCCAACCTCAGAATATAGAACCACTTTTAATGTATGTGACTTTTAGGGGAAGCTTCCAGAACAGTGCAGTACCAAAGCTTTCTGTGATCCGTGTTTTCAGTCCTGAGTGTTCCTACTTGAAACTGCCATTTTCTTCTAAGTAAGCATACTATCCTTTTTATTCTATGAACCAGCTTGCATTTACAAGGTGCTAGCCATGTCTTTCTTGCTAAGACTGCAATTTTGAGACCCTTTACAATTAAAACTTCCTAGTCATAAGTATTTTTTTTTAGCACACTGTTAGTTGCTGTGTGAGATGTAACAGATATAGATCCTAACTCCTTTTCTAGTTGTCCTGAAGTAATGGTTATGAGAAGTTGGGTTACAGGATTTCACTGAGTAGAGGAATTTTGTTAGCATCCCAATCCTTCCTCCACCCCTTACCTTGTGTGCCTACGCATATTTCTCTTTACTAGCAGTTGAAGATAAAACTTTTAGTTGCACAATTCTCACAGAAACAATGGGTCATTTCCCTTTATGTACCATACTGTCAGTGACGTTAAAATGCCCAGGAAATGTTGGTAAAAGAAAAAAATTACATTTAATTTTTACTGGCAGTATTGATGGTAAAAGTAATTTGGTATTTTGAAGGTTTTTGATTTTTAAAAAATTTTAATTTTAGGGGCTGGGGATTTAGCTCAGCAGCACAGAGCCTGCCTGGGAAGCACGAGGTCGTGAGTTCGATTCTTGGTATTGGGAAAAAAAAATTTAATTTTGTTTCATTTGGACTATAGCACCTTTAAAACAAAGTATAAACTGGGCGTGGTGGCACACACCTGTAATTCCAGCACTCAGGGGGCTGAGGCAGGAGGGTCCTTGCAAGTTTGAGGCCGGCCTTGGCTACAAAGTGAGCTCAACGTCAGCCTGAACTGCATAGCTAGACCCTGTCTCAAAAAGACCAAAAATAAAAAAAGTGTTTAGTAGATTCATAGAAACGCTATAATGATAATATTTGGGGGGGAATCTCTAAGCTGTACAATAATCTCAGTCTCAGAATAATATTTAATTAATAAGTGACCAATTGTACTCCTGTAAGCAACAAAGCTGTACAACTATAATATAAGGTATATGATAATAGCAATACACATAAAACCCTATTTTAATAAAGTTATTAGAATTGCTACCTGATATCCTATTTTTACATTGCTTAATTTATGAGAATAATATTGTACTTAATTTCCAAAGCAGTTTGGCAATACTGAGACAATAATATTTTTTATTTATAACCATATATGAATGCATTATAAACAGTTTTATTTATTTTTTTATAAACAGTTTTAAAGTACATTTAATATGTGTTTTAAATGTTATAGACGTGATTGTGGATTTGTTATTTTTTAGCAAAAACTTAGCATAAATGATGTTTTGGTTCAGACTCAAAACCCACAACCGAAACAACAGGTCAAATTAGTTTAACTGCATTACACAGCTGTCAAATGACAAGTACATTATACATATACGTGCATGTAAGATATATATATATATATAAATATATATATAAAGAGAGATAAATCAACCTCACATATATCTGTATATTTGCCAGCAAAAGAGAAATGTCATCATTAAATAGATGGCACCCAAATACCTGGGAACTTGTGAATGCGGATAATCTGATTTTCTTCATAAACCAGAATCCACTGTGGAGACATAAGAAATATCAGTTATTAAAACTTAGCATACTGACTACTTGCTCTAAGAGAACCAGAATATATGTTCATCTTTTCCGAAATCAAACTAAAATAGTCCCTGCAATAGCAGAAATAAGTGAACCCTTTTCTTTATTTGAAAAAACAACATAAGCAGTGACAAAATAGGGGAAAGAGCTGTCTGTGTTTGATTTTTTGTTTTTGTTTTTGTTTTTTTTTTAAACTTTTTGCTTGTTTTTTGAGACAAGGTCTCACTATGTAGTTTAGACTGGCCTTGAATTCACTATATTTCCCAAGCTTCCCTTGAACTTGTGGTGATTTTCCTGCCTTACTTAACCTCCCAAGTGCTGAGATTACAGGTATTCACTGCTAAGCCAGCTATGTCCCTCTGCAAGGAAGATATATCTTCTAAGAAAAGAAATTTGTGATGAAGGAGAAAAAAAATCTTCCCCTCCAAAAAAAGAAATAACTACCATCAGCTTACTATAAGATATGCCACAGAATCTTTAGCTGTATTTTAAAATTTTATTTTATTATTTTTTTTTTGGTGGTACCAGGAATCAAACTCATGACCTCATGCTTGCAAGGCAAGCACTGCGCCACTGAGCTATATTCCCAGCCACCCTTTTAGCTGTATTTTAATGAAGTCTTTGTCTAATTTTAAGTCTCATATACTATTTTTAATAAACTTTTTAAAAATGAGTATTAAATATTCTGAGGCCCGGAGGAACAGCTCAGATGCCTTAGTTCAATCCTCAACACACACACACACACACACACCAAGAACAAATATTAAATATTCTACATATATCATTTTTACATTTAATGAAAGGGTTTATGTAAGAAATAGTCTTTAAGAGAAGGGCTTTCAGGAGAATTCACGTTTGACAATATCAAAATAATCGTGTTGTCAGGTAACTAGATTAATATAGCTTTGCAGTTTACATTATTATCGCCAGATGCATTTCTTTACACATCAAATTCTATTTAGAAAATTAAACAAATGTTTTAGCAGAAATTGGGGTTTGAATTCATGTTTCAGTAGAATAATGTAACTCTTCCGTGACATCCAAAGGACCCATAATTTGAGCTTTGGGTGAACTGCACTGCTCATTTTCGTTTGTATGAGGGGAAGCATCTAGAAAGCACCATCAACAGCCTCCCAAAAAGTTCTTCTGTAGGCTGCCTTCTGCCTTGCCAGAAGAAGGCTAATGTTGGTCTGTATGTACTATGTTCTTGGCTACTTGTGGCATGCTGTCTGGATTGTTAACTGTCATGAGGCTTTGATATTGATTATATTTTTGATTTGAAGTAATAACTCTTTGCTACCTTGTATGAATATGCTATTTTTATAACTTGTTTTGCTATCTTGTGATTCTTAACATAAATATTGTAATTATGTGTCTCTCTTTTGGTTTGCTTGACTGGAATTCCCCTTCTACTTGGATGACCACAGGTGACCCTAGTATCTTCTGTAGTCTGCCTTTGGGGTTTTTTATAGTGAGTAGCATGGTAATGTTAATCGGAGCAAGGTACATCTCAGGTTAGTTGCTCTTTAAATTAGATAATTTTTATTAGTTAGCTTTAATGTATTTATGTGTAACTCAAAGTTTTCAGTATTTTTTATTCTTTGTTTAGGAGGCTGAAAAATCAAGTAATCATATGATTAGTCATATCAATTATTTTTGAAGCAGTTAGAATTAAAGACTGACTTTGCTTGAACTTTTTTATGTTTAGTAAATTATTTCTTTGAGGAGCTATATTCTGGTGTCAGCTGCAGCAATAACTACAAGCAGAAAGTACAAATGTTAATGTTTAAATAAAAAGATTTTCAGAATGACTGATAAAAGTTAAAGTATAATTCTGACATTAGTTAACTTGGCTTTCAAATGTGCATAAATTTTGTGTGTGTGTGTATGTGTGTGTGTGTGTTTCTAAAAATTTGCTAAGCAAGTTTGTTAAGTTTCAGTTTTGGCAAAATTTTTGGCCAGAGCATGTTCCCCGAGTTCCTATAAAACTTTAAAATTGGGGAAGATTTATAGTCATTTTATTTTAGTTAAAAGAATATGTTTTCTAGCTGGGCACAGTGGCAGACACCTGTAATCCCTGCTACTTGAGAGGCTGAAAGAAGAGCATCAGAAGTTTGAGACAAGCATGGGCAGTTTACTGTGAGACCCTGTCTCAAAGTAAATAAGGGTAGAGATGTAGCTTAGTAGTAGAGCACTTATTTAGCATGCACGAGGCCCTGGGCTCAAAAAAAATAACATATAAGTTTTAAAATTATCACTTAAAAGTTATAATTTAAATGAATTAGTGTTGAATTGAAAAGTGAATTCTTATTTTTGCTCGATAACTTCTACCAGATACTGTATTCTTATAAAAATTAAAACTGCTCAGCATGTTATGAAATAACATGCTAATCTGTGTTTGTTTTAATATGATAGCCATTTTGGAAGCTGATGATGGTTCAATTTTTCTTCAATTTACTATCTAAAATGGAAATGGCTTGTTTCTTATTCCATATTTCCACAAAAATGAAACACTTTAATATCTTCATGATTTAGAGAAAGGGTTAAATCATCTCTTAATAGATGATGACCTGGGTTTAAGATGTAAAATTAATTAATTTAGGTTTTTTGAGACAGGGTCTCGCTATGTATTTCCAGCTGGTCTTGAACTCACTATGTAGCCCAGGTTGCCCTAAAATTCATAACAGTTCTCCTGCCTCCGCCTCCCAAGTGCCAGGATTACAAGCTTGCCTCACAAAATGCAGTTTATGATGTAAAATTTAAACTTTATTAATGTAGAGAGAATATCTGATTGTAGAACTCTAACAAGCATTTATGTAGCTTGGTATCATCATATATAAATATGAATTAAAAACTTAAATTTGCAGAACATTACCTTTTAATTAATGAGAAAGTTTGAGTTACTTGCATTAAAATTTAAAACTCGATTATATGACTGTATTTTATATTCTTAATGTCCAAGTATATTAAGGATAATTTTTTCCCAAATCATCTGCTTCTGTTCTAACCATACCTTATTTTTGTATTAGTCCTAATGTCCTAAGGGTTTCAGTATATAAATCTATGTGAGATTAGCAGATATCTCTTCTTTTTGCTTCTGAAGAATGTTTGATGGAAGACTTTAAATATTCCCATGCAAACTGTAATTCACATTTCTAAAAAAATAGATAGGTTGTTTTAGAAAATGTTCTATTACTTTTCATTATCCTGAATGCTTTGGGCTGCATAATAACAATCTGGAAAAGAAAAGAGTACACATTGCAGCTGGAAGTTTTCATTGATTTTATTATTGTCATTTGTTTTTGGATACCGTGACAACGTGAAAAGGGATAGTGGCTATGAAAACTGAGACACAGAGCATCTCTCTAAGCTACGGGACACATTAAGTGTCCTGATGATTAGGTTTCTAAACTCCTTTTGGTCACTGTCTCTAGGTTCTTTCTTTGGTAATATATGCTGAGAAAGAGTGGGAATTGTTTGTGTTGGTAAAAAGTTAACATCACTGGTAATATTTTTTAATTTTAGAATTGGCCCAGTTTAATTTGTTGCATTTTAACTGGGAAGTATTGATAAGAAATCACATGAAATTTATAGCTCAATAAATGATTGAATAGTCTTCATTGCTTTAACTCCTGAATGGTTTGTGTCCCCCATTTTAGGTATCCCGTAAATAATACCAACTCATGGATTCCCAAGATGCGAGCTTTATCCATAAAGAGAGAATCCTACAATTGTATCTCTTAATGCTGCGACACCATTCATAGACTCTGATTTTCTGTGTAAGCCACTTGCTGCATGATCCTCCCAGTAGATCTGTGGCTTGAAATAAAGAAAATGGCAACAGAAAGAATGCTATGGAAACACTTGATTTGTTTTTTAACATTGACACTTAACATTGGGCTGGCTACCTTTGGGGCTGACGCCCTCCATTGTCATAACCTCCTGCCCTGTTTCCTCTGAAGCCTAGGAAGGATTCAGACCCTATCCATTGAAATCTTCCACCAAATGTATTCAGATGCTAATAGACCTGGATCTGATTCTCAGCACTATGCACACCTGATTGAGGAGTTGCTGCAAAGCTCCTGACTTTCTGTTTTTAACCAATCCCTCAAAGTCTTCTTTTCTACATGCTACAAAGTCACAACACCTTCACCCAATGTTTAAATGGAAACTTCTACTAAATTATTAAGATGACTACTTAGTATTCTCATAGTTTGGATATTTTTCTCAAAAATGTTTGCCAAAACTGCCATTCTTCAGGCATTTTACATTGTCTCCCTAATTATAATTATAATGACGATTGTCTGGATCTCATAGGGAAGAACACTTTTTTTTTCTTTTTCCATCTCCTGTTTATATTTTTTACTTTGTACGTATAACATACATGCCTATGTATTTTATATACTGAGAGTAGCCCATTTATAAATTAAGAGCACATTGTATTCAGTAGGTTTATAACAGGGCTGGTCTTTAGCAGACTACTATGTATATAAATATTTCGGGGGGGGGAAGAGCTGTACACATTTTGGGGCAACGGTTATGCATACTATTTACAGGGAGAAAATTTTTATTAAAGAGCCAACACATAAAATTGAAGTCCTATATGTTCTATTTCAATAAAGGAAAATGTACTTTATTATGACTTCAACTATATTTCTTATATTCTTTTTATTTAATTGTCTAGTTGAATGTATGCTTGAAAAAGAACAAAAACTGTGGAATACTCCAGTAAATACTGTTATGAAACAGAAGTATTAGTCCAAATAAAATGATTTTTCTTTGGCGTTCAGTTTTTACATATGTGGGATTCTTTTGAGGAATTGAGGGAATATCAAAAAAGTTTAAAAGCTAAGTAACAAAAAATTTAGGAATGAAGCCAAGAATCTGTTTTAATCTAAATGTTATTAACTGTTAATGAAAAATTATAATTTGTATAGGGGATAAGAGAATTACTTCTGCTTAATGTCATCTTGCAACTGAAAAGATTTACCATTGGAAATGTCTTTGAGTGCACCTACGCATTTCTCAAAATACTTAGTATATGTTCCAAGAATTTTCCTAATCTAACTTGTTAACATCATTGTTTTAATGTCTTAAAATGAATTTGTTTAGTAGCAAATAAGAAAATATTGCTTCCTATTTTTTTCTATCAGTGCTGAGTGAGAAAATATTTATGTGAATATAAAAGTTTTATTTTGCTTGGAATTAATGATAGCTTGCTTTATTTACTGTTCTGATTATGCTGTTTCTAAATTATTGAATCTGCTGGCTTTATTGATACAGCTGCCACTTACGTGACACATACAAAAAGGTACTGTGAAGTTAACACTTTGTGCCAGGGGTACTTTTAATGTAGTTACGATTTTACTTAGGTAGGTTGAGTTCATTGTAAATAATTGTGCAAATCACTGTTCAGATAATTTTAAGATCACATTAATTTTTCTATAAATTACAAGATTTATAAATGTTTGAAATTGTATACATTGATATTTAATGATAAACTTACAATAAATTGACCCCTTATTCTTACTTGCATTCTCATTTACAGATTTGAACTTAGCTCAAGTTAAATTAACAAGGATGTTTCAGTAAACACGAAACTCAGTTGCTAGGACTTCATCAGGCACACTCTAAAGAATTAACCAACAGCTGATGAAATAGTTTCTGGAGTGATGAGCACTTATTAAAATCGTATTATCCCAGTGTTTCCAGAAAATACTTTGCCTAGGTCAGCTGCCATTATCAGTAGTCTCGCCTGGCTGACCGTGAGTGTCTGTGGATTTCATTTTGTGCTTCAGCTTCTGTCTGGGTTAATCAGTGGAGTTACTACACCATTGTTCTCTTGACTTGACAGTCCACACCTCATTCTTTTGTAACTGGTTTTAACTAATATTTAAATATTAAAGCTTACTTGGTTCCTTGTTCTTGCAACTTAACAATTACAAGTTCACATGAACAATTAGCAGAAACGGAGAAAACAGTTTGATTGCTATGCTGTTCATCTTTTATAGCTACAGAGCCAGGCATACTGGCACATGCCTATAATCCCAGCACTTTGGAGGCTGAGGCAGGAGTATCTTTGTGAGTTCGAGACCAACCTGGCCTACAAAGTGAGCTCAAGGCCAGCCTGAACTGCATAGTGAGACCCTGTTTCAAAATGACCAAAAAAAAATATACATTTTATAGGTACATATCTTAAGGCTGATCTTATAATTAAGTATAAGATATGCTAAATACCATAGACAAAAACCTCACAGGTATTTACTGAGAATTCTCTCTCATCAGCATTAATAAAAATGACCCATTAAATTAAATTTGAGCAGTATAAAGAAATACTCTGAGATGCCAAAGTTAGGTTAAAAACAAGTAGCATAGTTAGGCCAGTATCTTTAATTACCAGTTTTCACCCTATTTCAGATAACCAGTTCTACCTGACAACCTAAGAGTTGAGGCGATGGCAATATTTATTTTAAAGCACAATTGCTGTAGACCTTTTAGGGTTTCCCTGATAAATACTAAGTACCTTTTATTCTTTGTTATTCAATCTGATAGTATTTATCTCACTGGATATTGCATATTTTATGGCAAGTTTACAAGTAAATTTTATAAATAGCAACTATTTAAATCACCAAAGTGCTCATCAGAGGGAGACTTGTTAAATAATCTATACTGTAGCCACTCAATAGAAAATTTGTAGCTTTGGAAGAGAATGAGGACAGTCTAAAAATAAATGGAAGCCTTACTCCGGATAATTGACAACACAAGGAGCAGGGAAGTGCATTAGTGCATTACCTTTCTATTGAAAAGAGAGCTCGAGGTGAATGCAGCTCATGCCAGCTGGTGCTTACCTGGCGTGCAGGAGGCCCTGGATAGGATCCTTCCAACATGGGGGTGGAGGGAAGTGGAGAGAATGGAGAAAATCCTTTATATGAAGAAAGGAGAAGGACTGTGAGGGACAGGAAAGTTAATGGATAGACATGTAGTGACACTCAATCTCAGCTACCCAGGAGGCCAAAGCAGAAGAACTTTGAGTTTGAGGCCACCATGGGAAACTTCACAAGAACCTTGTCTCAAAGTAGAAAGCCCTCCGCATATAGATAGTGATAGAGTACTTCCCTAGCACGCATGAATCCCTGGGTTCTATCCTTGGCACCACAAAAATAAATGTGGGTGCTGTGTAGAGAAAAAATTGGAATGTTTGCCTATACAACAAAAATGTAAGCTGTCACAAGTTACCTACTGGGACAGAACCAAGTGCTAATTGGGCGCTTGGGAGATGGGTGGAAATACATATACTTGAACCATCTTAATTGTTAGTACGTATACTATTGAACCATAATATTACTTACAAAGCTAAGTTTTTGAACTTACATTGGAAGTCATTGTACATAAATATGCGCAGCACTAGAGAAAACAATCCAAGTATCTGTTGATGAGTAAATAGAAGTTTTATACTTTTACAATAGCGTATTACTCAGTTAAAAAAACGAAGAGTACTGATACATGCTACAATGTGAATGAACCTTGGAAGTATGCAAAGTGAAACTAGACCCAAAATACATTTATGCCACAAACTGCCACATGTAGTATGCTATTAGATGAAATGTCCAGAGGAGGCAAATCCATAGAAAGTAGCTTAGTGATTGCCTGAGCCTAGAGGAAGGGGACATGGGAAGTATTTTTAAGTGCACATGGAGTTTCTTCCTGGGGTAATGGAAATGCTTTGAAATTAAATGTGATGGTTACACAATTTTGTGAATGTACTAAAAACCACAGATGCATCATACATTAAAAGGGTACATTTGATGGTATGTGGATTATATAAAAAATGTCATGAATTCATGACCTACAGACCAAATATCCCCTTCAGGCCTATTTAAAACAAAATGATTTAAGTTTGCATTTATGTAAAATAAATATAAATGCCAAGTCCCAGATGGTAAGGGAGTTTGTAATCCCTGAAATGAATTTTCTTTACCCATTGAAAAATGGAGGTTAATAAATTAACGCCCTCGCCCCCCATGCTGCAGGGTTCCTTTTCATTCCACTTTCACTAACACTTCTCTCAAGTGTTTTAATGTTGGAAATAGAAAAATGCTTTAGTCAAGGGTTCCTGAGAGAGTGTGATGAACCAAATTCTGTGCTTGCACTCACCCTCCCAGGGGTTTGCGTGGTATCTTCCCTAGAATATACTGAGACTCAAAGATGTAGTTAACTGGTCCCCCGGCCCCATCACCAAAAATAAACTAATCAACCTGTAATAAGTGAGGAGGCAGCCTTCCTAAAGTGCTAATCGCAGTATATTACCACTAGTTACCAGTAGCTTGACTTTTACATACACAAAACCTCTTAACTGTGCTGTTAATTTTCTTAAAGGTTTGATTTTATCTGTTCATCTTCTTCCCGACCTTACTTCAAGCCTTCAGCTGCCAGAGGAACTCTTAAAATGACCATTTCTGTCCACTTTTTAATAAAACCTCTTGGAAATGAAAGTAATACCACTCGTAGAAAAATTGTAAAGTAAAAGAACAGTAGAAAAGGACACAGACCTAAAATTAATCTTGTGGTCACCATTTTCATCATTTCCCAATATTTAAAGGACTATTTCACACATCTTGAATATTTAGAAACTTTTCTTGTGGCGCTGGGGAGTGAACCTGCAGCCTGATCACTGAGCTACATTTCCAACCTTTTAAATTTAAATTTTTTATTCTGAGAGTGAGTCTCCCCAAGTCTCTTAAGTTGCCCAGAGGGCTCGAACTTAGGACCCTGTGTCAGCGTCCCATAGTACTGGGATTAAAATCGTGCCACCACGCCCAAATCTTTGAATATTCATAAACATAAAAATTTTAACATGCAAAATAACACGAAGTGTTATCTATGTGGATCCATGCTAGTGAGTAACCCATGGATAAGGGTAAAACCACTGTGGGGGTAGCAGCTGTCTCTGGAAGGGGGCTGGAGTCATGGGAACGGGCTTGGCTGGAACCTGCAAAGTTGTTTCTAAAAAAAAAAAAAAAAGCTACAGCAAATACGGTATAGCACAGTTTTAAAACTCCTTAGTGTTAAGTACGCAAGTATTTACTGCATTCCCTACATTTATGTATGTTTGATATACTTCTTAATAAACTCGGCCCGGGATATAGCTCAGTGGCATAAGTGTCTGGCTAGCAAGTGCAAGGTCCTGATTTCGATTCCCGGTACAAAAAAAATAAAAAAAAAAAAAAAAAAAAAAAAACAAATAGAAAAAAACTAAGGCAGATCCCCACCCCTATCACTTACTGTCCCTTCAGTGTGATTGTGTTTGCCCTGATGGCCTCCTGAATTAAAAAGGTTGAAGTTGTCTCCATCTGTCCTCTGGCAGAATTACTTTGAGCACCTCATATAAAGTATCATTATAGAGAAAAAATAAATGCATGTTCAAAGTTGCATCCTTCCTTAGCCATTCATTTGTTATGACTTAATTTAAAAGGCTGAAAAAAAATCCACTTGCTTTATTTCATATATAGTACCGCCCACAAATGTTAATAACCACTTCTGTAAGTCACCTTCATTCTCACAGGTTAAGGCTGGAAGATTTCTGTATAGAAAAGAAGCAACTCTGCACAAGATCAAGGGGGGAAACAACTGTGGCCATGTTACTGAATTTGAAGTTGGGCACAAGGGCTGCTTTATCGTTTTCCAGGTTCTAGTTCATTACAAGTCAAAGAAACGATACAAAATGGATTAGAATCTTCTTCTGGACGTGTTTTGAAAGGGTCACAAAGACATAGGTAAAATAAAATGATGAGACAATCAAAATGATTAACAGCTGCTAATGAAGGGAAACGGAACTCTGCAATAAATGAATCCTCCAGTTTCACTTGTGTGGCCTTTTGCATTGTTTTTTTACTTCTTTTGGCTCCACTCAAGAAAATGTTACTGCTATTTGGTTGCTTTCTCTAGATGTTTTTATTTTGTTTTGTTTTGTTTTGGTTTGGTTTTTGTCCAGTACTGGGAACCGAACTCACGACCTTGCACTTGCCAGGCAGGCACTTTTGCCGCTGAGCTAAATCCCCAGCCCCTCTCTAGATGTTTTTAAAGGAAATAACAACTAATGATTGAAACTATGTTGTTTCAATGTAAGCTCTATGTATCCATCCCACAGGTCAATTCTCTAGTTCTCTGTGTTAAGTGCATGCGTATATGAACATCCCCCATAAGTATGCACACCCACTCCCCAACACAGTATATATTTTTGTTCAGCATATTTACACATGAATACCAGCCTTAATGTTTGTTTGTTTGTTTATTTATTGTCTTTTTGAGACAGGGTTTCACTCTGCAGTTCAGGCTGGCCTTGAACTCATTTTGTACTCGAGGCTAGACTCGAACTCACAACAGTCCTGCTGCCTCAGCCTCTCAACTGCTGGGATTACAGGTGTGCACCGCCACGCCCAGCTTCTATTAAGTTTGTACACTTATAGTAAAACCAGAGCTAATGTCCTCTCTGTGGTTATAGAATGGAATAGTAAATATGAGAGGCAAAT